ATCTTCAGCCTGATCACTTTCCTAAAATGTGGATTAGAAATGAACAAGGAAATTATTCTGCCATTCTTTTCTGCCAATTGACCAAACTACTTTCGGCAACTGTAGATACCCCTGTAGCCGCCTGTTATTACCAATATAGTACTAATGGAGAATCAAAATGAAATGAACTATTCTTTTATGAGTAGAGTACCGGTAGACTGTATACCTTGATCACCTAGAAGGAGATATACTCAGGTCCGTGAGAGATAGATTCGTAGTTCTATACGTAACGGCTTCTTTCAGTATCGCTAAATTATTCTCAATCGTGACAGATGATTTCACTCATCCAAATCAATGTTGTTCTTTCGCTTCTACCCCTTCATCAAATTTAGGTGTGACTTTGTAGTAACAGTTATGAAATTCCCCTTAAGTCAAAACTAACTACGAAATGAAGTAAATGCAACTTACCGATAGAATAATATAAAAAACCAATAAGCTGAAGCTTCCCCTGTTCAATGCATCACAAATATCTAACTCATTAATCAATTCCATGTCGTTGTACAAAGGCTTCAAACTAAAATTAATTTAGAAAACATCTTATTTCATCCTACCCTGGCTTACCCTGGGCTACCCTGGCAATGATGCATCATAATTATTTTATTTTTCCAAAGAATGATTCTCCACATTAAAATCGTCCAAGTGCAACAAGACTACTTTGAGACCGTTGTACCTGGAATCTACGCAAATGCAGCCCAAAATGAAACACGATAGCGTGGGATGCTTGTAACGCCCTGGCAGTAACTTTGACCAGGTCAGGTCCAAACTTTCCGACGCTGATCCAGAGACATACATGAGCATTGAGCAAGGCAATTTAGACAAATTTCCCCACGTAGGCTAAACCTGGTCTGATCTGATGGGTGGTTTGCATAGCAAGGTAGATAGATAGGTAGGTGTAAGGTGTTGTACGAAAATACATAAAGATCCAGGACCCCAACTTGCAGTAAGGAGAAAATAGATTTTAATTAAGCAACCCATCACAATAACCTTTTTTACCAAGCGCGAATACAAGTTTCAAGGTTACATCTACAATAGAAACATTTCTTTATATTGGGATCCAACATTTATATCACCATACATCCAATCGCCACTACACCAGATATATAACTATCCTCCTCCTCCCACCCAAGAAGACGATCATCAACAGCTTCGATCATCATCTCATCATCCCATCATCTCATCATCTATCTCATCTACTATCTACACAACAATCAATCAGTTCATCCTGTCTCAATCAAAAACCATCAACATGCCTGCTCAACATCGTCCATCCAACCTTCCTCCCTGCCCAGGACCACCACCCAACCGTCCTCTTCCTCCCCTTCCATCCAAATAAACTTCTGTCCCTCAACAAGACACACTGAAGTTACCCGGGACATGGAATGAAGACCTTGTGCTCACTCCACCCGCCCGCTACATTCGAAAATCACATTCCAATGTTCACCTAACGAGTGAGAAAGAGAGCCGCCACACCCGCGTTTGAGAGTTGTCTATTGCAAGATTAGTTTGATGGTGCAGCCAGCTACAATCTGATATTCATCCACAACTATCCCACCTCACGCATCACGCTTCACACCTTGCGCCTTACATTTGTCATTGCCATTGCCATTGATCCTTCGGCACCACCAAATGCCCAAATAATAGTTTCTCACAGCGCAATCCTACTCAACCAACCCAACCCAACCCAACCTCACACCCAGCTAGCTAGCTGCCCACACCTACTCTTCTGTTCGTCTTTTTGAGCATCCCTCATACATACATTCAAGAGGTTTTGCAACCCGAGTATATGGTTTCGTGTCCACAAATCGGGCCGATCTATACTAGACAAACAGTTGATTCCAACGGCGCAGCGAATAACCACGCATACTCTTTCTAACATACTACCCACCTACGACTCAATACGCAACGTAACGCAACACACCACATAATACACTCAACTTCTCGCGCGGCAGAGATTCGAGCGGGCTCGATTTGCTTGTGTGCTACTTACTATGTTGTGTCTCGATACCCTCTTATATCACTCACTCTCTCACCCACTCAACTAATACCTCATATTTTACCTTGGGAGTTTTATTGTACCAATATCAACACACACACACACACAGACACAAACACACCCCCAAAGTACCGCGGCGATCGGTCTTATTCTCGGTCTCGGTCTTGGTCTCGGTTTCGGTTCATCACAATCTTCTAATACGGATTTCTTTTCTATCCACAATTATCTTTCTGTATGGATACTGGCGTTTTTCGAGTGCTTCATATCATATCACATCACATGATGGGATACGAAGGATTGGATTGGATTGGATAGGACAAGGAGGGCCTGGGAGTTTGGGGAATCGGGTTGTGTAACTTGTAATTTATTATGGTTATGGATATGGATTTGTTAGTTTGCTAGGACAGACTTAATGGATGATTTGGATATGGAGTGCAAGGGAGGTTCTATTGGAGCATTAGCTTGTTAGCTTGCTAGCGCAGTTTAGCTATCATTAGCTATTGACAGATTAGATTTGAGATAATGAAATCAAGAAAAAATACAATCTCAAATTACATAACCTATAAAATTAACTTTTTCTCTAAAGCTTGTTTGATCATATTTGTTTGTTTGTTTGTGGCAATTTGCTAATCTAATCGAATTTGATTGGAAACTCAGATTACTGACTGAGCTGCTGTTTGCTCTGTGCCTAATCGGTAGTCGGTAATCGGTCGCTTTATTTAGAAATCTCTTATTTCATCTCTTCTTTTAGATATATAATAGCTGGGATTATTATATATAATTCAAGATTTGGTTTAGTATTATTACTCATAGATTTGTTTTGATATTATATTGTAAGACTATAGTATTCTTATTAGTTAATTAGATAGATTAGAATAGAAATAGAATATAATAGAATAAGATTTATAGAGAAAGGATTTCGATATAGATTTGTGAGTTTATTTTACTAATAATATATAATATTATAAACTGATTATTGATAATACTATTAATAAGAAGTTTGAGAATCTGGAAAATAGCTCATCTAATGGATTTTCAAACACTAGTACTAATAAGCTACGATTATCTAGTAGTATGATGTCTAGGTATAACTAACTATAACTCCTAGTAATATATCTATCTAGTAGTCAAGACTTAAGAATGAGTCTTAGTTCTAGATAGAGATAATAATACAATAATAATATAATAGTAAATAGTATTTTCGAAAAATTAATAACTACTAATACAAATCATATATAGAATTATCAATAGTAAATTGATTCTTTATCCCGGAGGCATAGCCGAAACAAGCGGAACAGAACGAAATGAAATGAAGTTCTCAATGAGGCAACGAGGCAAGGGTAATCGGGTAATCCGTTTGCAAGTATATATAAGTGAGGTGATAGGCATAGTATCTAAGATAATGAATCCTGGTTGATTGAACAGTGGAGTAGATGTATATATACGAGTATGACTATATTGTATCAAGCAGGCTTGGGCTATTTTTCTGGATATATTGTACTCACATATAGATTCTCTAGAAAGGTTTGATAGAATAGTATCTAGGTTCTATAGTCGGTGAGTTCCTTACCATAATCCGTAACCTTACTTTCCTTAAGCCTTTGATTATCAAATAACTATATCATTGATTGACTATTCCTGTAAAAGATGAATAGAATAGAATAATTTACAATTACTTATTCTCCATATTGATTATATTATCTATACTGACCTGACCCCCTTCCATAATATTACTTCTTTTCGGATATTGCTCGGATGGTTTTATATTCAAAAGAGCCGTTCTCCAAACACAAAGTATAATAGATTAATTATGATACAAGGGATCATCTTGAATCCTCCTTTGGACCAAATCTATCTGTTGTGCATATTATATTGCATGTTTTTGCTAATTGTAGGTTCTGATATCTGATATTGCAACACTACCCACTCATTATATTGTAATAGGCTTAACAACGGATATAAGCTAATGGCGGGTAATAATATTATAGATAATTGTTCCTGAATAAAAAGGAAATAAAGGAAAAGAAGATGAATATGTCTTACTTTACTGTTGTGTAACCAGCTGATGTCTGATTTTATATTTGATTAAAAAGAGAAAAGAAAGTCTCTAGGTCTTACGAAGGATTCCGTGGCGCTTATTAGATGAGGGGAAGAAGGCTTAGCAGTTAACTAGTAGATAGCATATCATATTTCTCAAAACTATTGGCTGTGATAAGTTGATACTGTAACCAAATCCGATGGTATGGGTTCCATGGATAAGGTCTGAGGTTAGGGTTTAGAGTTTTTTTTCCTGTATATCATTGTGGCACAGGAACACAGCGAGACGGGTGCGACATATCATATATGTTGTATTGCCGTCGCTTTGGGGGCTGTTTTGATATATGTGTTGTACATTCCGATAGGCGTTTTAGCTAGATGCATCTATTAAATTAGATGGTTAGATATTGTGGTTAGGTGATCGCCGAGTAGCTGAGATGATAGAGGATAAATGAATGAATGTATTGTATCACGTGAATACGGGTAAATTTATTCAGGAACGCGCCAGAAATGACGGGAGGGAGCGAGACGGGCTTGGCAATAACAAACGGGGTAGAAGTACAGGTAGATTGAATTTCTTATCGATTATTTTTGATCATCAAACCACAACAACCACAACACCACAACACCATCAATTGGATACCTACCTACCTACCTACCTACCTACCCACCTTACCTCCTCATATGCACATGCACCGTTTCTTTTGATATCCAAATTACTTGCATCTCTCACCGCAACTACAACTGCAACGACAACGACAACGGCAAGGGTAACGGCAACTGCACTGCAACTACAAGCAAGAATAACGCATGATCAATTCTTTTGGACGACTCGCAGATTTCCATTACAATAATCTATTCATTCAATCATTTACCCCTCAAATCATACCACACCTGACGCAAAAACCCACGCAATACTCACGCATCAATCATGGTTCTTGAACTCCACATTTGGGGTCCATCATTTGGTCTTCCATCCATTGATGCGCAATGCTTAGCTGCTATTGCATACATGCGGCAAGTTATCCCACGTGGTCAATGGTCCCTTGTTGCTAGCAGCGATCCAACCCTAAGTCCCACGAGTACGTGACGCACAATGCATCCTTAAACGATCCTTGGTTTGGTGTGTTGATAGAATCTTACAGATGAATTACCTGCTTTGAGGAATAGCAAGAGTGGGAATTGGGTGGGTGGATACAGAAATATACTCGATTTCATTACACAATATTCATCTGGAAAATGGGATATGGATGCGAGCTTACGAGGGCACGAGAGGGCCGATTGTACAGCGTGAGTAGTGAGACGACTGTCTGAGAGAACGGATGGAGAGATCCTATTTTGTGATGAAATTTATTGATTGGTTGGTTAGATATTCTGCATTTATCCAAGTGCATGGTCAACCGTTACTCGATCTCTCACTCTATGTTTCCTCACAGAATTATTCCGAAATAACACGACCGATTTTCAATACGATACAATCTTTTCCCCTACCATACCTCACACCACCTCATCTCCGAGCGGAAGCTAAGAAAAGAACCGAGTATCTAGGACTATCTGCTCTCGATATAGATACCGAAGATGGTGATAAATCAAGAGAACCAAGCATTATACCCGAATCTTTGAGGAGGGGTAAACACACAGTCTCAAGTTTACTTGCAGCCTCCCCTGAAACCAATGCGCAAATCCGACTTGATGCATTAGCGACCGATTTCTTCGAATCCATACAAGAATTAAAAGGAAAGAAGAGACATCTGGTTTCGAATTCTCATATGTCAAGTCTAGATTGTCTAGCATTGGGTTTCATGTCACTCATGTTATACCCGAAGTTACCGCAACCGTGGCTGGCAAAGACGATGAGGGAAAAGTTTCCAGATCTAGTCAAGTGGGTAGAGGAGCTGAAAGATGAGGTGTGGGGTGGTGTGGTCAGTGTGGATGATGCCATGCTTACAAAAGCTGGTAATGCCAATGCAGTGCAACAGAAGAAATTGCAATTACCTTGGCAAGCGCCTGAATCTCGTGGTATACTAAATGTCGGAAGCGTATTTTTGGCTAGCCTCGCAGATTCCGTCCCAATCGTAGGACAACAGAGAAAAGATAATCGAATGAGACGGTATGGTGGCGAAGAGACGGAAAAAAATACTGATAGTCAGGTTTGGAGATATGTTACCACTGTGGGAAGTTTAGTCGCTACTGTTGGTTTGGTAGCGGCTTATGCGCTACATCAGGGATTGATACATTTTCCTGAAAGCTGGCCCGGTAAGAAGGATGATGAGTGCGACAATACTCAGGGTTTGGGCGATCTCGGAGAGGCGGGTCAAGCACTTTTTTCTTTTGCGGATCAGATAAATTCGAGCGTGCAAAGACAAAGGGAGATGGAGAGAAGTAATGCACCGACTGTAGGTTGACGTTGACCTTTGAGATGGGCCTGCGAGGAGAGACAGACTTGGTTGAATGATACCCGAGGTTATTCTCCACATGGTTGATGTTTTATTTCATGATGATAGTATGGTAGGTAGTCCTCAAACTGACATCTTGTATATGGCCATTCAATTCCCGATTTTCATCATCTGTTGTGGTGCCATGCGATACTCATTGTATATATTACCGGTAGGTTGCGATTTCCTATTATCATTAATTCATCATTTATCTTTTTTGTTCTATTCACGTCGTTTTGATCCTCTTCCTATGATAAGGAATTGAACCTTGGTATCTATCTGAGCAGAGGAACCTGAACAGAGGAATGTTAAATGTTCGGGATATATTCTTGTTCATGTTCGTGCGAGATGGAAGATGTGGCGATGACGGGGAAGTTAAATAAATATATAGATACAGATATATGTATAGATATAGATATATTTATTTACGTGTTTATAAATTTGTTTCATGAGATAAGATGAGATAAGATGAGATGAGATGAGATGAGATGGGATGAGACTAGCAAACAAGCAGAGTCGAAGTTGGAGTCGAACAAAGGATATTAAGGGTTAAATAGGTTAAGGGGGTTAAGGGGGTTGATGGGGTTGAGGGTTTGAGGGAGCTTAAGGGGGTTAAAATGAGTTAGGGAGGGAGTGAGTGAGTGAGTGAGGTAGATACAAGGAGTGGGTGACTGGGGAGCAGAAGTAAAGAAGTCAAGAAATGAAGATATACGAGTACTCGAATAGATACAGACAGTGAAGCAAGCTATACTATTCAGGAATTAAAATCAGAAAATATCTAGGTTTTGTTCGTCTTTTGATGTCTTTTGGTTCTAATTCGTCTTTTGATACATACTCGAGTATAATGTGGTATGATGGATGGAGTAAGTAAGTCCCTTTATACTTGTACCTTTTTGGGAATTAGGGATTGGGAATTGGGGATTGGGGATTGGGAGTTGGGAATTGAGGATTGGGGATTGGGGATTGGGGATTGGGAATTAGATTGTAGATTGTAGATTGTGGATTGTGGGTTGTGGGTTGTGGGTTGAGGAGATGGAGGAGATAGAGGAGATGGAGGACTGGATAATGGTGCTTGGAGATTAAGGATTGAGGATTGAGGGTTGAAGAGATGGAGGAGATGGAGGAGATGGAGGAGATGGAGGGGATGGAAGAGGTGGAGGGGATGATAGGTTTTGAGGACTGAAGGTTGAGGATTAAGGGTTAAGGATGGAGGAGATGGAAGATATAAAGCAGCGGAATAAATCTCCCCCCCCCATACTAGAGATACCTTGAGGATAGATGGGTGGATGGATGGAAATTGTAGATATGGGTAGATAGATAGATAGATAGATAGATATAGATGGATATAAGTTTAAGATAAGCTCAAGGTGTCTGTCTGGTAAGGAGAGGAGGAGGGAGGAGGGAGGGTATCGATGGTTGGATAGGGCAGACTCGGAGGGTAGTTGATCATGATCATGATTGGGTATGGGTATGGGTGTAGGTATGAATATGGATATAGGTATAGGTAAGAGTGCGGGATCTTTATATTTATTTTTGTATTTTTGTATTTGTTTAGGTGGGTGGGTAGATAGATAGGTGGATAGGCCAAGGTGAGTAGATGAGGTAGTAAATAATTATACTTTTAGATGCTGAATACTGTAATGGAATATTAGTAATCTGATAGTGGAAATGAATCTTTCATATTACAAAACATTTAAATAATGTACTAGTTAGTATATAATATTCCGATATAAGCTAAAAATCGGTATAAACAAAGTTCTACTATACATTTTTCGGGCGGTGAGTGGTTTGACTTCCTCATTTATCCGATAGCTAATAATTTTGCTTCTCCTTTGTCACTTTACCGTATCGGTATCGGTATTCCTGCACGAAGATTACATAATAGTAGTACGAGTATAACAACAACTAATTTCTATGGGAGAAAAACAGCAAAGAAGATGTCTATTCAAAATTAATTCCTTGCATTCCCGTTAACATTGAACGGAAACTCAAGCAAAAAGCTCGTGGAGATACTGAGTACAATAATAGTTTGATATCATTTTCGCCAAGCACTTCCACAGCTACATACTGTACTTGTACTGAACCACTTCGGAGAAAATCGGCAGCGGAATTCCACTCTCTCCATTTTAATCCCTATTCAGTACGAGTATTTTACTAAAGTATATTTTCTATTTTCTTGGAAAGGTCAAGTCTAGTTTCTCTACTACATACAATACAATACAGTGCGAGTAAGCTCAATATTTGATCTTCAGGATTTCTCTCTTCTCTCTAGACTAGGTTCTGGAGTTGGATGACCGGACTTTATTGATATTTTTAGAATTATCACATGATGAATGGTATGGTAGCGACTTCGAAGATGAGTTCGAGGGGTTCGGGTTTGCGGGCTGGGGGAATTTCTTCGGTGATGGTAGCGGCGAGATGGGGGAACTTGAGGGTGTCGGGTTTGCGTTCGGGTGCGGGTGCGGGTGCAAGATGCATATCGACATCTGAACTGGATACTTCGAAAGGCGGTTCGTAGTTCTCCCATCCTCTTAACTTCCCAATCTATCTAATATACACCCTTTCCATCCACCTTCTCACATCGACACTCAAATACATGTCTTCTCTCAACTAACATAAACCCCAGATCGCGAAAGAATCCTTATTCTTGGATCAGGTTGGTCTGGTTTCACTCTGAGCCGACAATTGGATCCTAAGAAATATCAGACGGTGGTTATTTCTCCGAGATCTTATTTTGTATTTACGCCGTTATTGGCTAGTACTGCGGTGGGGACGCTGGAGTTTAGGAGTACGTTGGAGTGAGTATTATTGGTGGTTTTAATTTTTATTTGTCGAGGACCTATTTTTTGGGTGTTTGATCTGTGGGAAGTAAAGAGGGTGCAGAATGGAAAGCTTTGGTTCTTCATTTCTGGATGAGGGTCTTACTGATGCGTCGATTTACAGGAGTGTAAGAGGTAGAGGAAGATGGAGAGGATGGGGATTAATTGGTGGAGGATGGGGTGGGTGGGGAGCGAGGGGGAATGGGGTTGAGTTTTGGCAGGGGTGGGCGGATGATGTGAATTTTGATCGGAAGACCATTCAAGTGGAGGAAAATGTTATTGAGAGGCCGAAAAACGCGAGCGGGGTGGTAGAGAAGAGGGGAAAGGGAAAAGTGTTTGAGGTTGGGTATGATAAGTTGGTGGTTAGTGTGGGGTGTTATAGTCAAACGTTTGGGATTGAGGGAGTTAGGGAAAATGCGCTGTTTTTGAAGGATGTAGGGGATGCGAGGAAGATTCGGAAGAGGATTTTAGAATGTGAGTTTTGCCTTTGGGTTTTTCTGTTTTTATTCCTTGGACTGGGCGGATGGATGGATAATGCAAGAGAGGAGAAGTTGGCTTCTTACGAACCAATTTCCTTCCAAGGTGTTTGATCCAATCGATATTCTTCCTCTCCTAGAGCGAAGCGAAAAAGCCTCCACGGCAGTGGCCTAGCGGAGCGTCATTCAATTGAATGAATGGAATCAAGAGATGAAGGGATGAGATATAAGATCTATATTTACTAATCACCAACGAGTACAGGTTTTGAAACAGCAGCATTACCAACTAGCTCCGACGCTCTCAAAAAACAACTCTTAAATTTCGCCATTGTAGGCGGTGGTCGTAAGTTCCCTTCCTCTTCTCCCTATTTCATCCCATTTCCCTAATATTCCCCTTTATCTAGCAACCGGTGTCGAATTTGCCGCTGAGCTCTTCGATCTCTGCCAAGAAGATCTCTCAACTCTCTACCCCTCCCTAACATCCTTTATAAAAATAACCATCTACGACGTTGCGCCTAAGATTCTCCCCATGTTTGATAAAAACCTCGCAAATTACGCATTGGAACATTTCAAAAGAGATGGCATACACATCAAAACCGAACATCACATCGTAGGGTTGAGTAAAGGATTACCCAAAAGTGGTATTGAGGGAGAAGATGGTGTTGAAATCGAAAGAGGATTCACACTCAAATTGAAAGAAGAAGGGGAAGTGGGTGTGGGAATGTGTGTTTGGAGTACGGGATTGATGATGAATCCTTTTATTGAAAAAGCATTGAGTTCCGTGCATACATTTCCTACTCAATCCGCAACGGTCGCATCGAGATCGAGCGGTGAGGAGAATAAGATGGGTATAGAGAAACCGGAGGAGAGAAAGTGGGAATTGAAGAGGAGTTTGAAGACGGGTGGGTTGATGGTGGATAATCATTTTAGAGTCATGTTGGCAAGTCGTGCTACTTCTTCATCTTCATCCTCAACGGAAGTTTCATCGGAAGCGTCAACGCAACAAACCCAACAAGAAGCAACAATGAATGATGTTTTTGCCTTGGGAGATGTAGCAGTCTTGGGAAATACGTCATTACCGGCGACAGCACAAGTAGCAAATCAGGAAGCGAAGTGGCTGGGGAAGAAACTTAATGGATTGGGGAAGGGGGAGAAGATGAGTGTTAGTGGTGGGGCTGGGGATGTGGATGTGGATAAGGGGTTTACGTTTAGGAATATGGGGGTTATGACTTATGTGGGGGGTATGAAGGCGATTATGCAGACGGATGGGAAGGGGGAGATTAAGGGGTGAGTTTGGGGTTTTTGTTTTGTTTTGTTTTTGTGAGTTTAGGGGCGGCGAAGGAGGGGGTTAGGTGGGGGGATGTATACCTTGCCGTATGTTAAGATATACTGGGTTGGATTGGGTGTCCAGAATCTAAGAATGGGAAGCAAGCGAGGAAAACGAGTATACATGGGAAAAGAGAAGGTATTATAAGGAACACTAAACAGATGCTAACGATACATGATCGATATAGGAGAACCGCATGGTTAATATGGAGAGGAGCATATTTAACCCAAACGATCAGCTGGAGGAATAAATTACTTATTCCTATGTATTGGTTAGTATTCTCTGTTTTATCTATTATTATCTTCTGGGGAGTTGAGTTGGGAGTGGGAGTGGGAGTGGGATTGGGATGGAGATTGGGGCTAATAGTGACATGATAGGGCGATAAATTGGTTGTTTGGGAGGGATATTTCGAGATTTTAGGGGGTGACTTGAGTAAGTGGGTGGGTGAGAAGGAGAACGGGAGTGGGAAAGGGGGAATGGGAAATGTAAAGGGAAAGGAAAGTTGCAGAGTGATGGCTTGTTATGATGGGTGTAGTATACTCGAGTATTGTATTCTTATGTATTTTTATAGGGATAAATTCTACTTTATTAATTATGTCGGTTATTTTTATAGATGTGGATGTAGATGCACTGAGTGGATGGATGGATAGCTTTCAATAGCAATAGAAATAGCAATAGTGAGAGCTGGATTACTACTCGTAGAATAGTACTAGCACCGAGCTGGTGTCTACTGTATTATCTTTCGTTTTTATCTTCCTTGCTAGTAGCTCTTGGAATTTAGGAAGTAAGTTATCTGTTATTCACCTATTCACTTGTTCACAATTTCTCTCGAGTTTCAATCCACAGTCCGCAGTATACGGTATACGAATACGAATGCGAGTACATCATGATAGATTAGTGAATCTTGCTCTTGCTCTTGCTCTTGCTCTTGCTCTTGCTCTTGCTATTACTCTTACAGTACGATACTATCTACACCTCGCTAGTCGCGATCCGATATGATATGATATGATAGATACAGTATCTCTCTGGAGATGGGGAAGATGGGGAAGATGGGGTTGTTATCTTTTTATATTCATACTATATACTATATAAAATCAAAAGCCCACATTATACTCAGTATATACTAGTACTATAATATCTGAAAAAGAAAAAAGATCGATAATAGAGCTAGCTATATGTACGAGTATGTAATACAGGGAGGGGTTTTCTCGTGTACACAAACTTGTACTTGTACTCAAGTGTGTACGAGTACATAACTTCTCTTATAAAAGAGGAGGGGTCCGAGGGGAGGAGACAGTTTCTTGTAGGTATTCAAGTCGATTTCAAAGTTTCTTTTTTAATGAGTGGTTGGATATTGGGTTGTTGAGATGTTTGGATATAGGTTGAGGGTTGGGAGTTGGGAGTTAAGAGGGAGTTTGGATGGATGCATGGATGAGTGCCATGCTATATTACGGTGGTGGGGATAGCAAAAATTGATAGTGGTGGTGAATTTTTGTTGTTATTGTTGTTGTTGAAATCGGTTGAATAATTGTGTTGATTTAATGGTATTGTTGGATTCTATGAATCATATGATGTATTTTAGTTTTGTTAACTTACCAGTGGTAAAACAGTGGCAGTGTCAGTGTCAGTGACAGTGACAAAAACATATAATTATACACAGGATAGGAAAGGATAGGATAGGATAAAATAGCGCTTCGTGGTAAGAAAATAGAGAATAGCTGTAGGTAGGCACCAGATAGTCTGTATGTTATGTGGCACGTTCTCTTTCTTTGCTATAGAAAATAAATGATAATTAGACGATGAATGATGGGGGGGTGGTTTATATACTATCTTGAGTCATTGCTTCGTTCCTTCGTTTCTTTACTTGAGCACTTGGTACTTAGTCCTTGATACTATAAAGACTCAGGTTTCTGTTCTGCAGGGTTTGTACGAGTAGTGTCTTCTAATAATATAGATAGATATATTCACTTCATTAGTACTGTGTTGATTCACTCGAAACCGGGGTATATCACATGCATGCTTTACAATCCAATTCCTTCCTCGTACATCCAATCAACATGTCCGCTCAAATCTAATCTAACAACCCCTCATGATCCCATCTTCCCAAATCGAGTCTCGGACTGACTTTCCCCAAATATTCACTATACTAATATACATGTAAGATTACAAGAACTGCAAATAAATACAGTAGCTTCGTTCTATCAAAGAGAATCTCTTTCCTCTCCAGAGGTTTTGGGCGCTGGATGGAGATATCACCGTGAGGATGCGGTTGGGATCAATAGGAAGCATTAATGGTGTATCTTCTATTATAGTTGAAGGGAGGAGAACAGTAGAGGGTTCGGTATGCTATCCTAGTGCGGCTCTGGCGGAGTAGGTTTGTGACTTGTGGTTTGGATGAGAAGATAAATCATGGGGCGGTAAGATATATATGATTGTAACAGTGAAAAGAATTGTGATGATAATAATATATATTTCCATCACGGTGTAATCTTGTCGCTGTCTCTAAATGGATTTTCTAATATGCTATTAGTTTGTTTCGTTTTGAACTTCCTTGCAACTATATAGTTGAATAAATTTTACATCGGGGAATTTCAAATTATGCGTATAATTGGTATGTATGATATCATTTCGTGTGACCAACATACCTCGTCTTCGGTTTCTTGGATGGGTTGCCGTTGTTACTATCTAATATCTAAAATTATGTGAGTAGGAGCTTTTAAGCTCTACTTGTGCAGTGTTTCAAATTTGGATGCTGGATCATAGTCTTATAGATTAATATTGAATCGTCCTTTTGCATAGGCTAGGGTGTGAATGTCCATCTTTGAAGTTTGGATACAATTCACCTACTTCAAGGTCATATGCCTTGATTTGCATCTGGGATCTGACCGCAAAGTTACACACTCATCCGTATGAAGGCAGGTATAAAAAGAACAACTTTTAGATTATTTGGCTGAATCATAGTGATTGCTTTGCACTTACAAAGAATTAGCAAAATGATACGGACATTAAGTGATCATACGGGTATGCTGTGTCTCGACTAAAGTTTAATGAACCCCCTTCAAGTTGATTCTCGAGTGTATTAGTGAGTGCTTTCCATTTTTTGTCATTCTTTTGTCGTTTTGTCTTTGTTGACTATAAGTTATTGTCAATATCTTCTCTCATTTGTAATCTTGATTCAGTTGTTGGGGGAGTATTGTCCATAGTTGACAGTGTATAGAGAGAAAATCCGAAAAAAGCTCATCAGAACAAAAGGTTTCTTATACAATCCATATCATCATCCTCAAAGTTTGAGAATTCGAACATAAAGCCTCTTAGCAATGGCGCGGACCCGATGCAAGAACCATCATATTCTCACTCAAATGTATTCCAAGCTTATCCGAGAAAAATGCGGTTGCTTTGTGCATTTATACTCTCTTGAGTCTCGATCGTTATTTCAAGACTCGAATTAAGATACTTTTCAAATAAATATCAATAGACTGGGATATACGAGCCCGAGTAGGTTTCGAAAGTCTGCAAAGATTACGTATATAAAAAGCGAGCAAATAGACAAAGTCCGATGGCGAGATAATTGACCTTGAGTCCTTGACCTTGACCACGCAAACTAATAACATGAAGAGCCATAGGTGACAACTGCATCGTTTGGAATCTTAGATTTAATACAGCGCACACTAGGTTCGGGATTATGGTTTGAGTGAAGTCTCACATGTGTTTTTCGCTGAATTATTCGGATGAGAATGGAGATAGATGACAGTAAAATACTGACAGTGAGTCAGTGATGATTCAATACTAACAATTAAATATATATCAGAATTTTAGCAGAGACAATTAAACTTTGAAACATGGTAGTGAAGCCCAAGATAGACAAACGAACAAGACAAGCCATCATCAATTTATGTGCTGTCATGGCGGTATGTATTGTAAGGCAACCACATACACCTGAGCAGTTAAGTTCATGTCTCCGATCTGTCGACCCTAGCCGGAGGCAGCGAGCGGACGGGTTTGCTGTTATTACACTACAACAACAGATGTGTGTATGTTTTTATACACTAAAAGTCCTGCAAGATTCGGCTTCTTTACTCTCATATCATTTCTCCTCGATATGAATCATGTGATGAGGTTTGGAACTAATAAGCTAGCACCCTGCATCGAGCAATCTAATAGGTGGTTCATTCTTAACTGTTGCTATCTTTATTTCTGGTAACGATCTGCAATCATCTATTTAAGATCCTAGAATAGCGAAATTGAGGAAGGACAATTTGGAATAAAACTCATTCTGGAAACTTCAGGACGCTTCAGATCCAAGTCCGTTCAAAGCGCCACTAAGTAGCAAAGTTAGATTTGAAGACCGCACAGGAGAGTCGACTCTTCAGAAACGAACCTTGCATCTTTTCATTGTTATCTATATGCCATTTGTATATGTCAACAGTGGTAATGTAGAGGAGTAAACGATGATAGCTAGTCTTCCTCATAAATAATGAATGAATGTCATAACAATCAAGTATCTCCTCTTTCTAATACAATGAATGCTGCAGTGTTGCCGTTCTAGCTATCATGAGCTGTGATGAAAGCCACACACTTGATACCTTGTAAAGTCATCAATGTCTTCATCGCAGGACGTTCCGTAATTTAGGGTTATTAGAACGATTAGGATCATTGTTTTATAGACATAGCACGCTGATACCACACTAACTTTTACAGATCCCTCCATACCCGCACTGATCACACTCTTACAGCACCGATTCTCGTCATTCACCAACCTAAGTTAAGCTCGATACTCAAGTACTAGAACTTTCATTCTCTGTTATAAAACTACCTCTTTTGCACTACGTGGGCAACTAAATATGACTCCAGCAAAGCCTATAGAACAGCATTTAAGGAGTCCTTGGATTCGTTGTTCCGTTTTGTGGTCCCTCTTGGCCTTAGACCTCGGGCTATCACAGCTCTATGACATCACAATCAGATTA